AGTTTTAAAAATGTTTGTAAGACCGAATAGGGTTTATCATCATATAATACACATGTTTCAATTGGTCGATGACCATTGGCATTCATAGCACTAATATCAGAACCAAATTCAGTAATGAATGTACTAAGCTGGCTTTCATTTAAGACATTCGTTTAAATAATTTTTTTCCACTCCTGCCGTCACTTAGAATAATAAAAAAATGTATCTGGTCTTCTGATAACTTATGGGCCATATGATGTTTGAATTTGAAACTTTATGTGATTATACTTCACTTGAGATGTAGGCTGTCAAAAACGTTTCAACTCATCTGAATACATGCATGACTGTAGAACTAAGTTACATCGATTTTATATTTTTTTTGATTTTTATTGTCCTGTAGCGCAATTTCACTTCGTTTCAATAAAAAATATATAACTCAGCAAAAGCAGCAATATTTTCACTGGGAAATTTCCAGCTACATCTACAATACGTTCTAAGCATAGGCATACCATGTGACATTTAGTTATTTTAAAGTAGAGGAAGTGAGGTAAAATCAAATAAACTTTGTTCAATCTCGTGATTTTTCTCGATAAATTTTCTTTATTACTATTATTATGGACACGATCTTCAACTCTATATAAAGAACAATGACTCATCTCTTGATTTCACTCATTTAAAGGTTTGTCGTCTTTCGCCTCCCATCGTTACTGTATTTTTGATCCAGGTAACAGGAGCGAATGAAAATTTGAGTGTATTCTCCAGAGTATATCATTTAAGTTTCAATTGAAAACACCGAATTTTTAGCCACAAGAATAATTTTTGTGATTATACTGCCAATGGCTTACCATGCCCCTGCTTTCAGAAAAGTTTCTGTTTTGTGTCTTTTGTTCTTCAAAAAAACAACCTTTTTGGAAGAACAAAATAATTTTTTGGGCAGCATCACCCCTCCTGCTCTGAGATGCTAAGTATGTTCCTGAAACGTTTTTAGATAGCCTACATTTCATGTGAGGTATAATCACACAAAGTTTCAAGGCCAAAGACCGTACGGGTACTAATTTATAGGAAGACCAGATATTTCTTTCGAGTACTACTTTAAACTTAATTAATCGGATAAGTTTGAATGTTTCCATAAGGAAACTTGGAACATTTATAATAACAAAGTTAATTTGTTGTTTTTCATTATAGAGCTTTGATTTATTCGTGAAAACACGAACTTAAGAAAGATCTAGAGCAGTATCTTCTAATTAAATAGAACAAGCTAAAGCTCTTGTGATGAAAAATTAAAAATTTAGATTTTGTTTTGCTAACAAATATTATTGTGAGGAAAAAGAAGTTTGGATAAGAAAATTATTTTTTAAATTCTAAATAAATACTTTTTCTTCGTACGAACTTTATTTATTCCATGAAATAAATAGAATTAGTACGAAGGAAAAGTATTTATTTAGAATTTAAAAAAATCTCATCTAACTTCAGATTCATAATCGACTTTTCAAAAAAAAATTAGAAAAATGTACGAATTTATTTACGATCTGACAAAACAAAATCGTAACTTTAGACAGGAGTCGAAAGTTTCGTTTGACGCCATGTATTGGGTCAAGTCAAATTTTGTCTCCCGCTCAAGTAAGAGGTTACCCGCTTCAATGCTACTTACGAGAAATATGACCTGACTGTGGTTTAAACTCAGATCTATCTGTCCTCCAGACTGAGTTTTCACTCTACAGTCCAGCTTTAACTATACAGCTTGTCCAGCTAACGGACTCCAGTTTTTGCTCCTTTTCGAAAAGTTATTGCAATAAAGCTGCAAACTAATCTAAAATGACAACTAGATAATTATATAGATTAAACATTTCTCTACAAAATGAAAAGTGTCTCCGCTCTGAACATTGATTCGTTATGAAAATACAGCTGTTGTACAAACAGCCCCAAAAATCGATTTTTGGTCTATCTGAAAAGCGTGTCTAAGTGATTGAAGACGAGCTGGTAAACATTGAACAAGTATACCAAATTGTAGAAAATTGTTCGCTCTATAAGATGTAGATGCTTGTCAAGTTCGAAACTACTCTAATTAATCTCTATTAATCAAAGAAAAGTCAGAAAAACCGTAACGCTGTGACACCAAAAACTTTTCATTTTGTAGAGAAATGTTTAATCTCCTTAATTATTTAGTTGCCATTTTAGATTAGTTTGTAGCTTTATTGTAATAACTTTTCGAAAAATAGCAAATGGAGTCCGTTAGCTGAACAAGCCGTATATTGGAATAAACATATGTGTAACACGCACAGTCAGGCACGTCAGAAAACCTGTAGTGTTAAGGACAGTTTAAAAAGTTGATAATTTCCATCAAGATGACTTAATGGTTGATATCGTTATTCTAGATAATACTTTCAAATATCTGGTCATAATTTTTGAACGATTAAGTCCTCGCCGAAAGTCAAAGCAGCACTGTATGTTTTGAGCTAAAAGAAACTGATCCAGAATTATTCATTTGTTTTGATTAAAAACTGTGTTCGAAGCGAGAAAAACAGATTTTATTTGAAAAGTTGATGATTTTTAGAAAAATTCTTTATACGGCTCAAAAATAAGTCTATACGCAGAGCGGAGATTTCACCTGAAATATCGGAAATATTTGAAAAAACCTGAAAATGGAAAAACGAGACTTTAGTCATATTTTAATTTTTCTTATTCTATTTCCCATTTGAAAAACCCAAGTTACACATGAATTGAACGAGCAGAAAAAACTGAACAAGACAGGCTAGTTTTAAGAGGTTCAACTCATAAGTCAGTGGCCAAAAACATTCAGTTCAAAAGGATATCATATCCTTAAAGAACAGAATAGCAAAGTACCATGAACAATTTTACAAACGAACTGCTCTATGTGTCAAATGAAACAGATATTTCGTGGTGTTATGTCAAAGTTTTGTTCAAAATAGGAAATTTTATCAAGACATTAAGTACACTCCTTACCCACTCTTACCAGAAAAATTTCATCAAGCTTTGAAGTATAAACGAGCCCAATTTGCGCAGAACATAATAATGGTGAGAATGTGAAGATTCGTCATGTTGAAGAAGGTTGATGAATAAACGTAAAACTGATCGAGCGATTCTAGCACTGTGCATTTGTCGACTACATTTAGCCTATTTTCTGCAATGGGTTTCTCTTTACCATATGTCGAAAGTAATTCTCGAAAGACTACTTTCATTTTAAAAGTCCACATCAACGACTTAAGCGGAAAGTAATAAGCGCAAAATAATTTAAGGTTCCTGAATAAACAATTTCTGTGTTTGAATTTCATTTCTTCCTTCCTTACTAACCTTTTTTGCGTGCCCAAACCTTTTTCCAAATTGGACGTTTTAGATGAATGGTGTTAAACGAGCTCAGCTGTTCCTTTGTTGGCAATTAATAAATGTAAAAGAGTATCATTATTTGCATGTAATGAATTCATATTCGCACCATTCGATAACAATTCTTGAACTTCATCAGCCGTTAACATATTT